AGCTTTCCCAACACCATTTATTGAACAGGGAATCCTTTCCCCATTGCTTGTTTTTGTCTGGTTTGTCAAAGATCAGATGGTTGTAGATATGTTGTGTTGTCTCCGAGACCTCTGTTCTGTTTCATTGGTCTGTATCTCTGTTTTGGTACCAGTACCATGCTGTTTTGATTACTGTAGGCTTTTACCTTTTCTTATGTGTACAGCCCTAATTAAGCAAGTCACTTCTTGCACAACCAGTTTTCTTAACCACAAAATGAGAATGAGAATTCCTACTTTATCCTCAAAAGGATAAAAGAAATAATATGAAAACAGGACTTATAATACTGTGTTGCACATAGTAGGTATTTAATAATATGTTATTAGCTTCATCATCAAATATAAAAGTGGCTGTAGATTTCTGCTATGGGGTATCATATAAACTGCATTGCTATGGGAAATACCAAGAGTAGTACAGGTCATGCTTAAGTTACTGTGGTCCTTGCCAATGAGATAAAAAAAAGAAATACACAATAGTAATATTGTATAAAAGTCATCTAATATAAAATATATCATAAGGCAGTATGTAATCAATTGCTAGAGTAAGAATATAACTAAAGAATGTAACAAACAAAAGAGAAGGAGTAATTCAAAGGCCAAAAGGGCAATTTGCTAAGATCACTTTGAATACTACTGAAGCATTTGTGAAAGTATATCTTCATTCATTCGACAAGTGTCTCCAGAGTGCCTACTCCAACCAGGCACTGTTCTAGACCCTGAGACACAGGACAGACAAGACAGAAAATGTCCCCCTCTACATGGAGCCTATATTTTAGTGACAGGAGACAGACAAAAAGAGACTAAGTTGATGTTAAGACTACTACAGTCTCAGGTAGTTTGTCATAAGTTCTATGAAGAAGAGTGAAACGGGGTAAGGGATTAGAGTGGGACTAGCTGACAGCTATTTGAGAAATAGAGAATCAAGGGAGTTCTCTCTTAAGAGGGAATGGTGATCAGAGCTCTGAATGTAGTAAAAGAGTGAACCAAGATAAGATCAGAGGGAAGACAGGGGAGAAGCAAGTGCAAAAGTAGGAATGAGCTTGGCCTGCAAGATCCTGCAGGAGGACCGGTGTGGCTGGAGTGAGCTGAACTTGCAGGGCAGTGGCAGGGACAAGAGGAGAGAGAAAAGTGAGGGCACAGATCACAAAGGACCTTCTTGGCCACCAAAAGAGAGAATTTTACTTTAAGTTGTGATGTAAGCCTATTGTAGGATTTTGAGCAATTTATTTCCTCAACAATGATCATGGGTAGAGAACAAAGAGAATAAATATGAGGCCATTTAGGGGGTTAATAAACTGGTAAAGAAAAGATACCAATGGCTTAAGCTGTTACAGACCAGAAAGGAAATTAGAAATATAGTTATTTTAAAGGGTAACTAAAGAGATGCTCAAGGATAAATGATGAAGAAATATGAAAAGATGGTAGATGATATAAAATGGCAAGGTAAAGAAGAAATGAGTTACAGCTGTAAAGAAAAACAGTTCAGAAAAAGATTATTTAGGTCACAAACTGTAAAGACCTAATATCTGGAGGCTGCACACTTAGATTTGAATTTCGATGTTATTACTTACTATTCATGTGCCTTTAGAGGTGTTACTTAACCTTTCCCCAGTTTCTTCATTTGTAAAATAAGAATAATGAGATCTGCATCATAGAGTTGTGAGTCAGGTAAGAAAACACATCAACTTTCTGACATGTAGTAGGGTCTCCAAAAATATTTGTTCTTTCCTTTCTACCCCCAGTTAAATTTATACTTTTTTCACTAATATAATAACAAAAAACTTATAAATTTCATCTTCATCATTTAGAAGCACATGTAACTTCCTCATGAAGACTTTGTTTCATCTGATTAATTATTACAGTTTACTTTTGTTAATTACTATACTATCCAATAATATGAGTTTTGAAAACCGGCCAAGCATTATGGCAAGAAGGGAGATTTCCAGGCAAACGATGTGGGACGGTCAGATCACCTTAAGGAGAGAAGCCCTGTGCCAAACGCTATTTGCCAGATGGCTTGGTCTTGGGCCCACTGCAACTGAACTTTAGCAGGCACATTGTGAGGCGATTTTGATTGTCTGGGACAAGTATAGCGGGAGGCAGGCTTTAAGGTAATCAAAGCATAAACTGTATAGAGCTTTATGGATTAAGGTCACAGCCCCTCAATGAATACATAATGCCCTAAAGATGATTCCCTTCCCATTTGCTCATGCAAAAGGAGAAATGGAACAACAGAAGGAGATGACTTTTATTTCCATTGTATTGTATTAAGTGACTCCAGGACTCACTGCAGTTCCAACTTAGGGCCTCCCTTGCAGGAGATATTCCTATTCATCTTGTGGTATATAGGAAAATTGAACGGTTTTCTAAAAATTAGAATGTACTCCATCAAGCAATTGAAGATGAAATGTTGAGTCAGAGTCTTGGGGTATGAAATACAGCTCAAGGCTTCGGCTTTAATATCATCAAAAGTACTTTATGAACATCCTAGGTACTGATGTGTGCTATTGGGTCCTAGGGGACAATTCCACAGACCAAAAGGAATGGGCTCCAGGGAGAGTTTCCTGCAAGGAGAAAGGCAGAGTCCCCATTCAATGTGTCAGCAAACTCATCAAGATGCTGGTTGGTGCTCAGCATCATGCAGAGTAACAGGGCTACAAAGCAATATGTTTTATGGCCTCAGTGGTTTAGAGTCTGATGCATGGGTTTAAATACTGGAGGGTTTTACCATTGGTTTGCATCCTGGAAACTGACTGTACATGTAACAAGTAAGTAAGTGTTCTTTCCTAACTTGTCCTGTCTGGCTGCCTTTCTCTTACCCCTTGTGTGCCCATATCTCACTGTCCAGATGACCCCATGTGCCTTGCTGCCCTTCTTTCTTCTCCTAATCCATCAAATGTATTTGTTCATCATTACATTATATGTGTCTTGCTCTTCTAGCATTCAGCTAAACTGTTATTTACTTAATGTGTGCTTTCTCCCTACAGGTAACTAGTGGTCTTACCTCCCTTAAAAATGTACATGGTATATGCAGTTACTGTCTGGTCATCTGTAACCCTAGACTAAACTTTCTGTTGTTCTACAGAGTCTG